ACTAAGGTTACAGGGACACTGGAATAGTGCACCCCCTATTTCAGGAAAAAGCAGGAGTGTTTAAAGACACAGCATTGCTATTTTAGGATGCTCCCAGAACTCTAGGGACCAGTTCTGCAAGTAAGCACTTACCCTCAAAGCCTGATAAAGCCAATAACCGCTATGGGAAGCAGCAAGTTGCAGGACCAATCCCTTGGTAAAGAACAGCATGGAGCAGCCAGGGACATAATTTATTTCTGCAGAGCAGTGGCATAGACAATGGCTGCACTATTAGCAGAATTGAATCATTGGCTCCTGGATAAAAAAGAGGCATTAGAAGTTGTGTGTTTTCAAAGCTACTTTTTAGGAAGCTGGCTATGTGGATTTCTATAGCAGTATCACTCCTCCCACTGCTGTTAGAGTTCTGTTGGCATTTACATTGCAAATCTTTTTTCCTTTTCTTCCTGAGGAACAAAGTCATGGCATGCTAAGCTAGAGAGTGAGGCCCAGATCCTCAAAGGAATTTAGGTGCCTACCTCCCATCTCATTCAATGGAAATTACCTTTGAGAACTTGGACCTATAGCTGTAACTTTCAATTTCCCTATACTCTTTATTTTGGTTTTGGAGCAGAGCTATACCTCGTCAAACTGGTGTTAAAACTGATTCATGGAGGTCATTGTCAAAATATGCCCCTGTAACCCACACACACACATAGGCTATGTCTACACTGGTAGGTTCTTGCACAAGAACACAAGAACCCTTGCACAAGAACACATCCACACTGCCATGTGGTTTTGCACAAGAGCATCCATGGCAGGGTGGATGCTCTCTTGTGCAAGAAAGCTCTGTTGGCCATTTTAGCCATAGGGCTTTCTTGTGCAAGAAACCCCTGCTGCACGTCCACACTGCCCTCTTGCACAAGAGGTCTTGCGCAAGAGCGCTTACACTTGTTAGAAAAGAGCATAGCTCTTGCCCAAGAAGCCCTCTCTTACCATGCTTTACTGTAACTCTTATTGCACAAGAGTGAGCAGGCAGTGTGGATGCTCTGTGGAAGAATGGCCGTTCTTGCACAAGAACCCACCAGTGTAGACAGAGCCCTAGTGTGGTTCGCTGTTCCATGCAGTGGCACTTAGACCACAGCAACAGATAAGAACAAGAGAACAGATAAGAACAAGAGAATGGGTTGAGCGCTAGCTGTCTTCTAGCGCAAAGGGTAAAAGCCCTTATTACAATCCAGAAGTCTTAGGTTCAAATCCACCTGGTGGAGGTTACACCCCCATTTTCTATGTTACATTTTAAAATACAAACCTATATGATTTCTCTCATGTGGTGCCCTTAACACCCGCTGGCAGTATAAACATCAAGGCTATGTCTACACTGCAGGCTTTTGCCAGCAGAGAGTATGCTAATGAAGCGTTCATTAGCATTTGTCGTGCTGTCATTTACATATCTCTGCCGATGCTTTTTGCACAAGAGGTTTTTGCGCAAAAACAAACAGTGTAGACAGGTCCATTTTGTGCAAAAAAAAACCCCTTTTGCGCAAGATCCCTTATGCCTAAAAAAGGAGGTATACAGGATCTTGCGCAAAATGGGGTTTTTGTGCAAAACGGACCCGTCTACACTGCTTGTTTTTGCGCAAAAACTTCTTGCACAAAAAGCATCGACGGAGATATGCAAATGACAGCACAACAACTGCTAATGAGCCCTTCATTAGCATACTCTGCCAGCAAAAGCCTACAGTGTAGATGTAACCCAAGTGTTCTATGCTGTGATGCCTATAAAAGACTTGACAACACTTCATCTGCTAGAGTGCTGAGACCCTGGTTGTCAGCGCGGAGGATTGAACCAGAGTCCTTATGGGCTAAAGTCATGAGCTAAAAGCCAACCCAGTGTTAGCTAAGACTGTAGAGCAGCCATCCATCTCCCTTCTTGGTGCCTCTAGGTTACCTATTTCCCTCAGCTGAGGAAGCACTTCCCAAGCTTCAGAAACGGTCCAGCAGCTCATTCCAGAGGTGCTCCAAGTTGTAAAGCCAATAGACCCAAGCTCTGGACAGGAAGGATTGAACTTAAAACCCTATGGACTAAAAACATGTGCCTGTATAGGATAAGTTAAACACCAGTCACCTACAAAGCAGCTATCATGCTCCCTTGTTAGTGCTCACAATCCCTCTGGGTTACTCTTGTTTTTACCTATCAGACTGTGTCTTCCTGTTGCCTCCTGTCTTATAGTTAGGCTGTCAGCTTTCTGGGGCAGGAGCTGTCTTTTAGTTCTGTGTTTGTACAGTGCTTAGCACAATGGGGTTCCAGCCTATGATGAGGGCTCCAAGGCACTATGGGACTTCAAATAAAGAAATGAATAAATAGTAGAACTGGGGCTACATTCAATACTGGTCCAGTGGTCAGTACAGGCAACGCCATAACAGGACCCTCAACTCCTCTGTGGTTCTGCCACTGACTTGTGGCCAATCCTTCTAGTAAACTATCTGTGTTCAGGTATTAGCTCTTTCCTAAGCCCTATGTGTGACCTTAGCATAAATCACTCTGAAACACAGATCTCTGTCTGTGTAAATATGGATAATAATCCTTCCTTTCTCCCATCTTTCTTCTCTGTTGTCTCTTCAGATTGTAACATCTTTAGACCTGGGAAGGAGGTGGGATATCATAAAGGTATATAAAATCATGACTGGCACGGAGAAAATGAATAAGGAAAAGCTATTGTTGTTCCCATAACGTAAGAATTAGGAATCATCAAATGAAATTAATAGGCAGCAGGTTTAAAACAAACAAAAGGAAGAATTTCTTCACATAACTCACAGTCAACCTGTGGAACTCCTTGCCAGAGGATATTGTGAGGCCATGACTTTAACAGGTTTAAAAAAAGAACTAGATATATTCATCTAGGATCGGTCCATCAATATCTATTAGCTAGGATAGGTATGAAAGGTCTCTGTTTGTCAGAGGCAGGGAATAGGTGACAGGGTTGCAATCACTTGATAATTACCTGTTCTGTTCATTCCCTACTGGTGAACCTAGCATTAGCCACTGTTGGCAGACAGGATTGTATCAGGGATGGTACTTGGCCCTGCCATGATGGCAGGAGACTGGACTCGATGACCTCTCAAGGTTCCTTCAAGTTCTATGAGAAAGGTATATCTCCATATTATATTGATCAGCATGGCAGATAGAGGCTGTTCTCTTTTCTTATGGACTGTCACTCACTGCATTCATACAGAACCTAGCACTATGGGATCATGATCACAGGTGGTAGAGTGGTAGGTGGGCAAGTTTGCTACCATAAAGCAAGCACTAATTTGTGGGCAAATCACTTAATCTCTTTGGGCTCGTCTACACTGGCCCCTTTTCCGGAAGGGGCATGTAAATTTCATGAGTCGTAGTAGGGAAATGCGCGGGGGATTTAAATATCCCCCGCGGCATTTAAATAAAAATGTCTGCCGCTTTTTTCTGGCTTTTAAAAAAGCCGGAAAAGAGTGTCTACACTGGCCCCGATCCTCCTACTTTGAAGTAGGAATAAGAGCCTCCGGAAAAGGGCGCTTTTTCCGGAGGATTGGGGCCAGTGTAGACGCTCTTTTCCGGCTTTTTTAAAAGCCGGAAAAAAGCGGCGGACATTTTTATTTAAATGCCGCGGGGGATATTTAAATCCCCCGCGCATTTCCCTACTATGACTCATGAAATTTACATGCCCCTTCCAGAAAAGGGGCCAGTGTAGACGTAGCCTTTCTGTCTCACTTTTCCCCATCCACAGAATGGGGTTTAATAAAGGGTTCCTGGGCCTTTAAAATCCTACAGATTAATGCTGACAAGAACTATTCCTCTACTTCCCGAAGGTTGAGAGGATTCATTGACACTAGTAACACTTATGGGAAACAGTCCCTCCTGAACAGACCTACTCTGGAAATGGAGAGCTACTGGGACTTGCTGCCAACAATGGGATGCCCTACAAACCCCCCAGCTGAACACAGGTCTCAGTTTGCAGTGAGTTAAGCTGAAAGGGGTTATATAGGAGGAGCTGCAATCCTAGCCCAGGAACAGCCCATGGAAAACACCTGGGGTTGCTGCCTCCTCATTTGCTAGCAGCTGCCTCTGAGGCTGATAGTTTGCACCTGCCCCTGCTCTCTGCTGCCATTAGTGAGGAGCGGGCAGGTTAAGGACCCAGCTCCCCTTTCAAGGGGATTTTAAATCTCTTTGCATCATTTCCTGTTTTTCCCCACTTTTCATTTTAATTGACTGTAGGAGCCACATTTCCTTTCCCCTGCTCTCCCACTGCCTTTCTCCCTCTGCAGGAAGATGGGGGTAAAAGTAACTGATGTGCTAGAAAAAGATGAACACTGTGAACTGCAGCCCTAGGCTCCCCGAACCCATTGCTGCTTAACTAGGACAACACTTGGCATGGCTTTGCTCCTCTGCCACTAAACAGCCCGGGCTACATCTAGACTGGCATGATTTTCCGCAAATGCTTTTAACGGAAAACTTTTCCGTTAAAAGCATTTGCGGAAAATCATGCCAGTCTAGATGTAGCCCGGGCTGTTTAGTGGCAGAGGAGCAAAGCCATGCCAAGTGTTGTCCTAGTTAAGCAGCAATGGGTTCGGGGAGCCTAGGGCTGCAGTTCACAGTGTTCATCTTTTTCTAGCACATCAGTTACTTTTACCCCCATCTTCCTGCAGAGGGAGAAAGGCAGTGGGAGAGCAGGGGAAAGGAAATGTGGCTCCTACAGTCAATTAAAATGAAAAGTGGGGAAAAACAGGAAATGATGCAAAGAGATTTAAAATCCCCTTGAAAGGGGAGCTGGGTCCTTAACCTGCCCGCTCCTCACTAATGGCAGCAGAGAGCAGGGGCAGGTGCAAACTATCAGCCTCAGAGGCAGCTGCTAGCAAATGAGGAGGCAGCAACCCCAGGTGTTTTCCATGGGCTGTTCCTGGGCTAGGATTGCAGCTCCTCCTATATAACCCCTTTCAGCTTAACTCACTGCAAACTGAGATGTTCTGGTGGGGGTGGGGTTTCAAGTCTAGCCATGAGATTATTTGCAGTGCTATTGGGGTGGTCCTCTTGCATCATGTGGTAAGGGGAGGGAGGGGTGTATGTTGGGGGAGGGGGGGGGGTTGCTGTGCTGGCTTCTGAGTCTCTTTTCTTGTGTTTGTAGGTGGCTTTTTTTGCTTGGTTGCCTTGTGGTGCCCTTCACAGCTGGTGTCACTAGCTCCATAGCTCTAGAATTCCCAGGTAACCAGGCCATTCTTCTGAGTGTGGTAGACTAGCAAGTCTTGATGATTCTGGGGTGTGCTCAGAACTGCTGACTCCTGTCCGCTCACTGGTGTGAGTGGGCAGTAACATTAACAAGCCTATGTGATTATCTTCTAGAGTTACAAGGTGTTACTGTTGGACTGACTGTGCATTTCCTCTTCTAGGGACAGTATCTTGTCATGCTGACAAGATGCTGCTTGGGTTTCCTAGATTGCTTGGCAGCATCTTCTGGCAGGCCCATGTAGTTGGTATGTATTGCTGCATGTCTAGCTGGCCTCTTAGGGCCACTTCTAGGTGTACAACTGACCAGTGGTTTCTTTCCAGATGCAAGTGGAGAAGAGATTGCAAACTGTGTCTACATGGTGGATCATGAGAGGCTGACTCTAACTGCTCTGTATGTGAACTGCACTAGACTAGAGGTAAAACAATCCCTCTGCTTTGGGAACATGAACATTTGATGCAGGCTTCTTACTGACCAAGCTACTGCTTTGTAAGGGCATATGTAACATTCCATATCTTTGATCCTGAACTCTTTCTTGACCCTTGAGTCCCTCAAAAGTGATTGTAGAACTCAAGAAGGACTGTTCCTGAAGCTAGTTTCTCTGTGGGAGCGCTAACACCAAAGGTCCAGATTCTTGCATGTCCTGGGTTAAGGTCATCCTTTACCTGAAGCTGCTCAGATGCATAATATTGACTTAATCAAAATTGCTTCTGTAGTAGTTCTGACAGTCTCTTGACTGATGATGGTAACAGTTCAGCTGTGTGTATGTGCTCCTTCTGTGTGTTTGACTGTGTACTAGTCAACACAGCAGACTCCAAGACAGCCCTCTCCCCCACAAAGACCTTCAAACCTTATCTGATTTTGTGGTGCCCAGCCAGGTGTATTGTCAAACAAAGGACATTAATAGTTGTCAGACTCTAGTGAACCCTTATGCTTGAGTATCGCCTGCAATGGGCCAGCTGAGACGGTAGGTCGGACAAAGACCGCCCCTCCATGACACAACCCTTCCATGTACAAACAAGATGTGAGGAGTGATGTGCATGTCAGGTTGCCACCCTCTGACATTTAGATACCACACCTCACCCTGCAACTAGAGGCTTCATCTAAAACTCTCTTTCATGCTGTCTTTTGAAACCCTTTCCTGAACTTGCATGGGTATGTCCCTATTATCTGTTTAAAGAGTGTGGATATCCAGGTCTGTCTTAACACATTCAGGACCAGTAGGCTAAGTCTACACTGGCAGCTTCTTGCACAAAAACTCTTTTGCGGAAAAGTTCTTGCGCAAGAGCATCTACACTGGCATGTGCTTTTGTGCAAGAGCATCCATGCCAGTATAGAGGCTCTCTTGCGCAAGAAAGCTCTGATGGCTATTTTAACTGTAGGGGCTTCTTGAACAAGAAATTCATGTTGCCTGTCTACACTGGCCTCTTCTGGAAGAGCTCTTGCGCAAGAGGGCTTCTTCCTGAGAGAGCGTCAGTTCTCACGCAAGAAGCCCTGATTTTCTACAGTACAATGTCAGTTTAAAACAGTCAGCATGTTTTTGTGCAAGAGCGGCAGTTTTCGTACAAGAGTGTGCCAGTGTAGACACAGCCTTGGTGTTTTAGAGATGGTACTTAGTACCAATTACAGTTCAATTCCTGTGCCTATACCAATTAGTGCTTACATGATTAGCCTTATTTGGGCCAAGTTGCATGAAAAGGGGCCTGCCTCTTGCTCACAGCTCTTGTTCTGCTTTATATTAGCAAAATCTTGACCATTGTTGGCTAGGCATCCCACCAGGACTTTGATATTTGGGCTTATTTCAGGCCCTCCCCTTACTACAGCTCACCAAATCTAATTACTTGAGTTAGGAGGGGAGTATAGGAATTTTTGAACTAACTTTTAGAGACCATTTCCAGTGAGGGGAAATGTACATTACTAGATAGTATCTCAGATCAGCAATTAGAGCCAGACCTCAGCCTCTGAGCAAGTTGCACAACTCTGCCATCATATCTTTCTCTGAGCTGTGTGTTTTGTTGCTTCAGCATGGCCAACACCATCTGCGAGTAAAGCTGCTGCAGAACAAGACAGTTGCAGGGGACAAAAATGTAACCTACAGCATTGGCTGTGATGCTCTTCAAGCAGATGTTGTACCTACTGTTTTTACAGGAGCTACAAACTGTACGAAAGACTTCATGGCGGTAAGTGGGACAGCGTAATAACTCCTTAGCAGCCCCATTGAGCTTAGCTGTACAGAATGACAGACAATTCAATGGAATCAACCTCTGAGTGTGGACGAGGGGTGGGGGGGGGGGTGTGTGTGTGTGTGTGTGTGTGTGCGCACGCGTGTCCCCCCTTCGACTCTGGGAAGACTCAATAGAACTCTAGTTACCTTGCACTCATTTGTGTGTGTGGCTTTCCTGGCTGGCATCTTAAAAGGGTCTGGCATAGCTTGCCAGCATGTATCGGCTAATCATCAGTAATCCTCAAGTTGGGTAGAAGTGCTTGACAACTACAGGGTGGTAGAGCATTTATTGTTGCTTGTCCCACACAAATCTGGCCTCTAACCATTGCAGCATGCTTCCTCAGGATTCTGTGAAACTTCCATTCCTGTAGTGAAGAGGCTTCTCATAACAATCACTATTGAAAGTTTGCTTTGTGTCCTACATTTGTCTGAACTGTGCCTCATCCATCTGCTGTCATATTCTTTCAGGTTGTATTCCCAAGACTCATTCCCAGCTTTGCAGATGAACACACGGTAAACTTTTCTGTCTAATGAGGGTAGGGTGTTCAAAGTAAGATGCAGCAGAAATAGTTTAGAGGCATGCAGAAACTGCAATTCTGCTAAAATAGCCAACTGGACACCTTAAATAGCTCCAGGGTTTGTTGGTTAAACTGTCTCAATTAGTAGTCTTGACCTGTCTTAAGACTGTTAAAATAGAGTTCTTTGTTTCTGACCTAACCAGAAGTCTCAAATTGCAGATAGCAGAATCTCAGATGACTTGGATAGTCTCCATAGATGATGGAACAAGAACACACAGGTTAAGCCTTCGGCAAGCCATGCAACAAGGATATACATTCCTAGCTGATGGCAACAATCTCATCTTCCAGGCTTCTTTTGGGGCTACTGGAGTCATGTCCTACAAGGTAGGTGCACACCAGCTTCTTGGAGGCCAAAGAAAAATCTACCAAAGGCAAAAGAAGGGGTTACAGAGGGATAATTCTGACACTACAAGTGCTGACTGTTCTTGAACTAACAGGAAAGTGAGTAGATTGGGTCTCTGTGCAGTCCATCATGGCCTCTGAAAATGGAAATAATTGGTATGCCTATATATGGGAGTAGCTAGTGAGATCAACTGCCTAAACTCACAGCAGCTGTATTCTGGCTTTGAATTCACATGGTGCATGAGATTACAAACTCCCTCTTAGACACGCTTCTTAGGTTACTCCCAAGCAGAGGCATTCTTGACCAGAGCTAGGGTAGAGGTACACTAGCTTTCTGCTCCAACAGCAGTTTACTTGACCTGCAAGACTTCTCATAATCTCAGTTCTCTGCAGCCTGCCTTATGAATCATCATAGATGCTCTGTCTGTCCCTGACACTGGAAATCTCATTCTGAATAACCTCCTGTTCTCAACCATGTGTGTCCCCACTGCAGCAAGACAACCAGATGCTCTATACAGTGGCTCTCAAGCTTTCGTATGGGCCTCCTGATCAGCGACTCACTGTGGAATCAAGAATGATCTGTGCACCAGGTAACACTTGGCTGCCTCCTCCCTCTAGAGGGATCTTTACCCTGCCACGGCTATAGGACTTTGCACCGATACTGACACAGATCCTTTTGCAGGCCCAGCAACCTGCAATTCAACACACATGACTGTGGCCATCCCAGCTTTCCCGGGGACCCTGACTGCTGTGCGTATAGAGAACAGAAACATTCCCATGGACCAACTGCAAGCAAATGGGATTGGTCTGGACACAAGGAAGGGAGTGAAGCTGCACATCCACAGAAGAATCCTGAAGTCCCACGTAAGCTCAGTACAGATGGGTAATATCTAGTGCCTTTTAGGGATGGTGACAATTATCAGCAAAATGGAGGCCACAGGTAGGCTGGGATGAGTGTCCTGACCCTAAATGAGACATGGCTCTGCTGATGGGCCTTAACCACAAGTTACATGACTAGATCAGGTAGCTCCCTTCAGTGCTGGCATCTGGTTAATTTCCCTTAATCCCCCCTCAACCATGTCATGTCCACACCTCTAACAGTACCCTTCCTGTAAAACCATCACATTTATTGAAATGTTCTCACTGTTTCAACTATTGCAGTTGAAGCCCCATACCCAACACCCTTTCCCAAATAGATCTGCTTAAAGCTTTTGCTTGCAGTCTGAAAGGAAGCTCTTACAACACCTTGCTAATGCATCCTACTTGGGGCTGCTTGTTCTGGGCATTCTTAGTGACTAGAAGCTAGGCTGGACAGCTTGTCTGCTAGTCCCACAGCCCCAAGTAGTCTTCCCTGAAATGATTCATAAAGCTCCTGCTCTTCCCAAAAGACTACCATACCCCAAATGGGTAGACTCCTTTGTCTCAGTGTAAGCCACATGCAAACTGTATTACCTCACTCTTGTGAGTTGGGGATGGCTGAGGGCAGAACTTAGCATGGCTGTATTCTAATGGTTACAAATCCATGAGCTGTAGCTAGTCCAGTAGCCTTACCCTCTCTCTGTAGAGCAAAGAGCATACTTGATGGACTCTGACCTTTAGTTAGGTCCAAATAACCAATATCCCCTAAAGTGACACCACCTCCCCTTAATCGGAATGATTAAAATTCACCAATTTGTGCTTTTTACTTCAGGGGCTTGAGTAGGCTTGCTTAGAAGGATCTAACCAAGACCAAACTGTCTAGATTAGTACAGTCTAAGGCAATATTTAACCACAAGGTGACAATGGTAAACAACTACCTGTGTATCTTGGATGTAAAATGTGATCGGTCTGTCTCCTGTTTCAGCTGAATGAGGAGAGCTGCTTAGGACTCCAGTCATACCTGGCATCACTAAGGCTGACTTTCCGTTTCCATGGAGAAATGGCATCAATGGTGACCTATCCAGAGTGTCCCTGTGACCAACATGCACCCATAGGTGAGACCATGCCCATCCCCCTCAATTCATTCTCTGTGGTGGCTACTGTACATCAGGGACAGCTAACAATGAATGACTTCAAGTGCTCATCCTCAACCTCTGTGCAGGAGAACATGGGGTGGACCCATCAACGAATCTAGGTGGAGTGGAAGGGCTCTGAGCAACTAAGTCCCTTTGATTCCATCTAAAACAGATGCCCCTCCCTAGCAGTGGGGGAGGAAGGGAAGAGGGGTCATCAGACCTATGCATCTGGTTCCATATCTGCGCACTCTGGACATTCACTGATTAGCAGTAGGAAGGAATCTTCACTGACTGACCTTGTAAGTGTTAACATGATAGGGTTGACCAGTCTCTTACCCATACATATGTGACCCTTCTCCAAGGGATATGCAGACAATATCTCAAAGTTTTGCCCATAGTGCTTGTCTCTCCAGAAGCTGCTTGATTTCTTGGAAGAGATTCCCCCCTGCCACCAATATTAATGACACCCATATGAGGTGAGGGGCATGCTGGTGGCACAACACTGACAGTGAGCTCTGCACTCAACAGCACCATGCCCACATGTGGAGTGCATCAATTGACACACTGTGCAAATTCTAGGTAGGCAAATGGTGTTAGCAAAACCACCCTGGCCACATCTCCTAGGATGATCTTGTGCACTACTGAGATGGAGGGGACACTCACTGGCCTAGGCTGCCTGTCACTGCCTCAGCCCCCAACAGTAACACATATAAAACTCCTCGAATGTTTCAGCTGCTGTGTGCTCTCAGGATGGTTACATGGACTTCGAAGTACTCAGTGACATGACACAACCAGCCCTGGACTTGGACACCATCCGGCTTAGAGATCCAGCATGCAAACCAGTCTTCAAGTCTCCCTCTAATGACATGGTTCGGTTTCACATCCCCCTGAACAGATGTGGGACAAGGCAGAGGGTAAGTGTGCAGGACAGTGGCTAAGCCACAGGGGCAGGGCTCTAGCTAATGCACATGTATCCCCTGTGTACAGTTTGAAGGTGAGAGAGCAATTTACGAGAACGAAGTGCATTCCTTGTGGGCTGATCTACTGCCACGCAGGATTTCTAGAGACAGTGAATTCAGGTCAGTGCACAACCCTGCCAGGGAGACCCAGCTACAACACCAAGAAAAGTGGCTGGTCTAATAGCCAGCATGTCTACTATTGTTGAGATGGGCATTTTTGTCTTTCAGGTTAAGTGTAGTGTGCACCTACAGAAGTGGTGATGCAGCCCTGAATGTAGGGATAAGCAGTCTCCCTCCTCCAGTTTCTTCAGTAAACCAAGGTCCTCTGTCTTTGATCCTACTGGTCTATCCAGGTAAAGCTTGCACCTAACTGCAAATGGCCAGGGTAAAAATCAAGTGGAAACTTTCACGATGAAAGGACTTGGGGGAGAAGCACCTATATCCTGACTAGCCAAGGAACAGTACTGGACAGCAAAGTCTCTCTGAGGAGAGGAATCCATGCCTGGCCTGTCAGGATTTATTAATTCCACCTTGCTGTGCAGGAGTAAGTGGTGATGTCCAGGCATGCAGAGCAGAGAAGCTCCTGTTAACCAGTGTATGGTGTTCTAAAGCCTTTTCTAGCTGTGCCTTTCTTGTGTGTGCATAGGAAGGCTTGCTTGGCTAGCTTAGTCCTGTCTCTAGACTAATTCTCCTGCAGGAATTCCTACCTGCCATGTAACTCTACCATTCTGGGGTTTTTCAGATGACTCCTACCTGCAGCCCTACAGTGATGACCAGTACCCTATTGTGAAACATCTGCAGCAACCCATCTTCTTGGAAGTGCAGGTTCTAAACCGCAATGACCCAAACATCAAACTGGTGCTGGATGACTGCTGGGCAACAGCATCACAGGATCCGAGCTCTATGCCCCGCTGGAATGTTGTTGTAGATGGGTAAGTGTAATACAACTGCAAAGCATTGCCATCTGGATCTGATCATAGCTATGAATAGGTCACTAGCATTAAGTAAAGTGTCCCAGATGGCTACAGTAGCTCACAGCTGAGTGACTTAAACCTTGCCAATGTCAGGACAGCTACTCATTTCTAGTCCAAAGACAGGCTTGCAAGTTCACCCAGATCTCTAACGGTATTGAGGGTCTCAAATGATGGACTAAATAGTGCACTTTGATCTTAATGAAGCAAACCATATCCCAAGACTCTGCCTGGTTTCAGCTCTAGTCTTCATTCCCCACACACTCCCGTGACTTACATGTCTCCTGTAGATGTGACTATGAATTGGACAACTACAGAACAGTGTTCCATCCAGTGGGCCTTGCAGTCAGCTATCCCAACTATCGCCAGAGATTTGAAGTGAAGACCTTTGCCTTTGTGACGGGTGACAAGGCTCTCACTAGCCTAGTAAGTGCTGTTCCCACTTAGCAGGAGCTAAATGCTAGGGCTTCCTGTGCTGCAAGTGTCTCTCCTTTATCTCTGCTCCAGGTCTACTTCCATTGCAGTGCTCTGCTCTGTGACAGGCTTCAACCAGACTCCCCTCTGTGTTCAGCAAGATGTCCTAGGCCTTCCAGATTCCAACGAGGTAGGTGCTAATGACAGCTGGCAACTAGAATGTCATGCTGGACATGCTGGAACACCGATCCAGAAAAGTAGCCTATTGAGATCCCTTCCAACCCTATTTAGCCCAGCTGCCTGCACTGAGGCAGGACTAATACTAACTGGCCTACCCTGAGCTGTCACTAAACCACCAGTCAAAATACTGCGCAAACAGTAGGTAACACACTTCAGTGCTGACTTCCCTTATTTAGGAGACTCTTCCTAATGTCCAACCAGTACATCCTTCTTGCAATTGTAGCCAATAACTAATTGGTCTCCTTAATTGCTAACAGAACAAGCTCACCCTCTAACAGCCTTACTTAAAGACTGTGCACCCTCCATTGCCTCTTTCAGACAAAACCCAGTGTCTGACTTTTTGTAGGTCGGATCATGACTTTTTGACCTTTAATAGCTCCTATTCCTGTCTATAGGACCGAATCTAATCCAATCCAGCTTGCTAGAGTAGATTTCCATGTTCTCCCTTTATGCGAGGGATTCATTTGTGGTGGTTGGTCTCTTGCAGACGTGGTGGCCATGGAAGCAGAGAACTCCGGTGTGGCAAGCTTACCTGGTGCTGTTCTCCTAGTGGCAGATGAATGGTCTTCAATCCAAGGTATGGAAGAAATGCTTCTCTCCCCCTATTGGTGCTCATTCCAAAATATTCTGGTCCCTAATTTGTGGTAACTCTTCTCTCTACAGAAGAAGCTCTCCTGAGCGAAAGCACATGGACCACAGTTGCAACAGCAACTACAGTGATTCTTGGCTTGATGGCCACAGCCCTGGTATCAATGGCTGTCTTTAAAAACCTGAAAAGGACAAATGCTGTAATGACCAACTGATTCTTAAGGAGAAAATAAATCTCTGGATTCACTCAGTCATGGTGTATGCTTCCTCTTTACTTTTTTTTAAAGTGGTGAGTTTGATAGCCAAGAGGTAGCTTCAGAAGAAGCAAGCCTGTCTTGGCTCATCCCTAAACTTAGAGAAAGCTAGCAGCTCCCCAGTACAAGATCTTGAGCTACAAAATGGCACTAGCCTGGCAGTGGCCACTGTACCAATCTTCTCCTATGCTGCTGCTCCATATTAACTAGCTAAGGGAGTGGGGTGATGGTTCTTGTAGTATTGTATTGTCATTATCTCTTCTGTAGATTAAAGACTCTGATTTTACGTTCTCTTGAGAGCCTGCAGTACCTTTAGGCCACAACTAAGGGGACAGCCCTTGGAGTTAGTCCTTAAGTTAGAGCTGCATGTTTCCTCTCATCCCTCTAGAAGCCAGCATGCACATCAGGAGTAGGGTAGAGCTCTAGGACTACAAGTACTGGCACTAAAACTAAAGTTACACAAATGCCTTTAAAGCTAATGGAATAAGTCGTCATGTATGTTACAAAAGCAAATGGGCTCACTGCACAGTCTGTGGAAGGCAAGAGGTGATCCTCTAGGAAGCATGGTGCTGTCTAGCAGAGGAAGTCTGGACTACAGTCTTCCAGGTGTGGCTCCAACTGTTGTAACTTGGCAGATTTAAATCTGAGACACACTTCTCTGGCCTAGCAACTGACCCACAAACTGGGAGGAGGGGAAATGCTGCTGCAGCAAACTGGTCCAGATTCCAATATTCCAGTAGCATAAACTAGAAGGCTGTGTCTACACAGGCAAGTTATTCCAGAAAATCAGCCACTTTTCCAGGAAGAAGTTGCCAGCTGTCTACATTGGCCGCTTGAATTTCTGGAAAAGCACTGACAATGTAAAATCATCAGTGCTCTTCCAGAAACTATCCTGCTCCCATTCAGGCAACAGTCTTTTTCCTGAAAACTGTTCCAGAAAAGGGCCAGTGTAGACAGCAGTGTCTTCTACAAAAGCCCCGATCGCAAAAATGACAATTGGGGCTTTTTTGCGGAAAGTTTGTCTAGATTGGCTATGGATGCTTTTCTGGAAAAAGTGCTCTTCCGGAAAAGCATCCTGCCAATCTAGATGCACTTTTCTGAAAATGCTTTTAACAGAACTTTCCATTAAAAGCATTTCCAGAAACTCATGCCAGTATAGGTGTAGCCAAAATGTTTGCCTGGAAACCATGACCTGCTGCCCCACTTCCATTAGTAGCATTATCTTAGTAGCCAGTATACTTTAGGTCTATTTGCTTGCTAATAAAAGAACCCTGTCTGACTCAGAGTGGAGTACTACTCATTAGAAATAGCCATGGTCACTCTGCTGAGGAATGGGCTGGCTCTGACAGCTAGAGGTAGGCTTTGACTATAACATTTAAAGATTTCTATTTAAACAAAGATCTGATCTTTACTTCACATG